TGACCCAGTGTAATTATATTTTCAAGCGAAGGAGGTTCGGCTGAATTCCCTGCCGCCGGACTAACTCCACCCTGAACATACATACTACTAGTAAATTAGTTTCTATTATCTATGCATGGTCAGATGTAGCATAAAGTGTCATGGTTCAAGTATATTTTAACCTATTAACAACAAAGGAATATATTAATAGTGGATATGCAGAATGTTATATATTTACTGACTTAAAATTTTGGATCCGCTTCTGTGGTATATGACAGTGTTCAAGTTCGATCCACCAAACGCAAATGGTACCGGATTTCCACACAGTGTTTACTTACTACCAAACTATAGGAGCTTCAACAAGTGCGATTTCAGGAGGGCTAAAAGGATAGCAGATCCAACTCAAGGTGCTGGTGAAGGATTTGAGTTTGTGTTGAAGAAAATGCAGACTTATTATTTTGCTTGTGGAGAGCACCAAGGCATCCATTGCAAGACTGGGAATATGAAATTTGCTGTGATGCCACTCAAACATTGGCGTTTCTGAATTAAAAGAGAGTTGCAGACTGTGCTGTGGCTTGGAATTTGGAAGATGCATACTGATTACACTTTTAAAATGCTTTTTTGTGTTTTGATTGAATAAAGAGAAAGAACTTTGACCTGACTTTAGTATATTTTTCATTTCGACTAAAATGTAATATCAGTTTTGGATCAATTACATTGTGGTTTTTAATACGTTGTGTTAATTTTCCATATTTTCATGTTATGTATATTGTGTCCACTTTGTGCATACCTTTTTACACTATATCCACACTAATCAATAGTTTAACTTTAACTAAATCCAGTCCAGCTGATTAAAAGGAAAGTCAAAGCTGCCATTACAGACAAACAGACAAAGGGAACTAACAGATAGATAATTCAGACAATGCACAACAACAGAACTCAGCAAAGCAGAGAGAAGTCCAAGAAAACAAATCTAAATTCAATCCGCGGTCTCATCAACTTCTGGGGTCTCAAGTTCAGCTGTTTCTTGCTCAGCATCTTGCACCTCCTTCTCCNATGCAGACAAGACCATCCTTAGATGCATTCCTCTCTTTTAGACGCTTCACAACCTTCTTAACATTATCGTCATGCTCCTTCTGCCGCTTCTTGAAAGATTTGCAGTCAGACCTAACATCCCCTAAATATATGGAGAAGTAATACAGGAAGGAGAGAGGAAGGACGAAGAAGATAACGATGATCCATCTGAATTGGACAAGATAGTCCACCAAATTCTTCTTCCTCTTGGGACGAAGGGGAACCTCAAGATCCGACATTTTGGAAGAAGAGGTGCCAAACAGAGCTGACAGATGGACTAGCACCGGGAAGAACCCAAAATGATATCCACACTACTTGCAACTGCTCTTTTCACTTTTTATTTCTCTGTATCCATAATCAGAGTGGCTACCCTATAAAAGTGGCTTATTTCTATGATCATTCAACTATCTTCAATTTCACTAAAGTCATTCAACTATTTTTTTGTCACTTAAATATAACTAAACTTTATTATTATCACTTAAAAATCATTTTGGTTCAAAACCCTATCATATATATGATATGGCATAAACTTTAATGAGAAAAATCTAAAAATAAATGACACGTAAGTTTAAATGGATCATACCCACTTTAGATCTATTTCTTCCTTAGTGTGATTTGACCCATAACCCAAATGGGTTTCAAAGGGGGACAAAACACACATCCCTAATAAAATTAGGTCTTGTGTTTTTTGTGGGGTTTCTATCGTACAAATACAATCTTTCTTTTGTCTAACAATTGCAATAGGTTGTCTGTATTTGCATGTTCATTGTGAAAATAGATTCTTATTAGCCTTATTATTATTCTTGTATGCTTACTATACATTAATATGTTATGTGAGATGAATACAATACTATTTCAATTTCACTAAAAATTATAAATATGTTATCTGAGTTGGATAAATAGTATTTTAACTTCGGTAGTGTTATAAAACGACTCAGATGGGGCATACAAACAAGATAAGAATTTTTTTAGTGTAGAATAACTATAAATGGGTATTATGTAACAAAAAAGGCAACAATTTTGTAGTATAGGATAACCATTTTAAACTAATGTGATATTTTTTTTATTGAAAGCATTTGGGTTATGAGTCAAATCACATTATGAAAGAAATTGATCTAAAGTAGGTATGATCCATTTAAGCTTATGTGGTATTTATTTTTGGATTTTTCTCATTAAAGTTTATGTCATATCATATTTATGGTAGGATTTTGAGTTAAAATGACTTTTAAGTGATAATGATAAAGTTTAGTTATTTTTAAATGACAAAAAATAATTGAGTGACTTTAATGAAATTGAAAGATAGTTGAATGACCATAAGTGAAATTACCTCCTATAAAAGTTGATTCTTTTAACTCCCAAGACACTGTGTTTTGGTCCTAGGAAGCGTAAATTTCAAAAGAATGGGAGAATTAACCTAAATAGTTGTTTACTTAATGGCTTAAATTAAAAATAGCAGATGAATATATAAAATCCCACCAAAATTGTGTGTCGCCTAAAAATTAGGTTGGATCAAACTTTTGTAGGATCGCCGTTCAAATTTTGATCTCGTTAAGAAATTTTTTGGGAAATAGCCTCTCGCCAGAATTTTAAAGCACGCCAGTCAGAATTTTGGGAAATGGTCTTGGCAATCGTCAAAATTTTGAAGCGCAAAAAATTTAGCCACAATGCTTAAAAAATTCTAGTAATTCGTCAGGAATTATGGCAAAATCCTAAGGGTCACCATATTTTTCCAACATTGTGACTGAAAGTTTCGGTGATTATCCAGATTTTGGCACAAATTCTAACAATTATAACTTGATGAAATTCTGGTGATCTTACCGGGATAAAAAAAAATCAACCGTGGCATAAAATTTCATTTGTGTTATTCTCCCGCTTGTCAATTGAAGAAAGAGAAAATGACACTGTATACATATTTTGTATATATATACATTCTATATGTTATATATAAAAATTATATAAATTTTATATATTTTTTCGACTATCCAATATAAATAGTTTTTGGCCGGACTAAAAGTGATATTTGTCCTGAAGAAAAGGTACTAGCACTCTATTGGGCCTTGCATTTATAGGCCAGGCCGTATGCTAAACCCAAGTTCGATAGATCTCCAAATAAAAAAATATATAATTCCTTTCAAAATAATAGTGGAAAATATATATATATATATATATATATATATATTATATATTATATATTATATACAAATTTTATACAGTAGTGTCCCAGGCGGCTAATACCCCTCTCCAAATCTGTAGCCTGCGGTCTTTCGGGTCTGACATTTTCAATTCAAATTTATCCCCAGCGCCGATTCGATTCCGGCACCGACGAATATTCGCCGTTCACAATTTCTGGTGAAAAGAGTTGTTCTAAGCAATTAGCTAATCCTAGAGAAGTCGAGTGGAGACAAAAGTATAAGGAAAGTATGAGTGTATTCGGAGGAGATAGCTGGGCGAGGGAAGCGCAGAACAGGAAGAGAAGAATCGATGAATTGATGGCGGAAAACATCAGTTCTTCAGCTTATAAGAAGTTGTCCAGCGGCAAATTCGCCTGTCTCGTTTGCCCTCACAGTCCCGTCCTCGACACCCATCTCATGCTCTCTGTACGTACATACTAAAAACATAGACCCTAATTTTGCTCCTTTGGTCTCTTTTTAATATTTTTGGTTATTTGATTTTCATATCCTTTAAAACTAAAATTTTGATCTTGAAAAGTTTGCTTCATAGTTCTTCCATCTTCATTTCCCAATGAACAACAAAATCTTAACATGTCATTCAGCTTGGCTACGAATTTTAAGTAAAAGAGTAAGTCCCTAAAGAGTAAAGCAAGTTTTAAAGTCTATCATTGAGCGAATAGCGAAGTTAGCTTCAAAAGTTTTGGAGTTGACTATTCCTTTATAGCATCTCTATCGGAAGAAAAATTGGAGGCTTCAACATGGTCCAGATTCATGATAATTTGATATGGCTAACTAAGAATTGCGAATAGAAATCCTATATAATTGTTAGACTAACAAGGTTGTATGAGATTGAATTTTTGGTCTAGAAGACCCAGCATATTCACAATATTAATTTCACAAGAGTGGAGATATTAAAAGTGGATGATTTGAGATTGGACAAGATTATAAATGATCACTTATGAGTGCAAATAGCAAACAAAAGCTAAATGAAAAAGTGTTGCTTGAGATTGTTATGCGACGTCCTACGGAGACATCAATACATATCAATTCATAGGTGCGGCAAAGCAATGCTTGAATATAATATTACATGGAGAGGAGGTACTTCAAAGACTAACAATCTCTCGAAACAAATGCTTGCTTAGCTAAGAATATAACACAATGGAAGCAAATGATCCATTCTGGTGATACCGCCTAGTTGGAATCAATGCTTAGTTGTCGTTATTACACTTACATAGTTACATTAGATCCTGTGAGGAACCTTTCTATTCTGGTCAAGGACTTATATGTTAATTTTAGATCTTTAGTTGAAGCCAGTAATTGTCTTAGAAGATATATTATTTAGTACTGGAAGGAAATAGGTCAAAATAAAGTAGACTAGTTACAGAGGATTCACACAGCCGACTCCAAGTAATTTAGAATTGAGGGAAGGTTGATTGATTGATACATCCGGAAATGCTTGATTACTAGCATGTCAAAATCCTTTTCTTTTAATTGTCAATGGTAGAAGAGTATGTATGAGTGGATAACAACTCCACCCAAACCAAAAAAATTAATTAAAGGAAAAGCATCTTCAGCCAGCCAAACAATTCTTTCTGTTTCTTCGGACCGGCTATTTTTAATTGTTGAAGTTCTGTGGTTAATTGGTAGACAAACCGTACAGACATACTGTACATTCATATTACAATTTTTTAACGTGTGGATGCAGCACGTATTTTATTTATGTATGCATTGATAGATGTATTAGGAAAATTCTCATGGGGGTTGCTAGTTCTCTTACCATCTTCTGTGATAATCCCTCATTATCAGAAGGAGCTTTACTTTTTTGGACAAAATATTTTTAATTGGTCCAAGTGAGACATGTAAGGGAGGTAAAGTATGATTGTCTTAATCATGTGATGCACACTAATGAGGTGCTTCCTGCTCGCACGCAAAGAAGGAAGATGAAAGGTTCAGTTCAGATTGACACTGTTTGCAGTTGATGAAGAACCTCTACTTCTTTGGACCCAATATTGCCAATTGGTGACGTTCTGTGATTAATTAAGCACAAACTCTACAGACATACCGGCATGCATATTTACAATTTTTTAGTATGTGGATGAATATGTATGTATCTATGTTCACATTGAAAGATGCATTAGGACATTTGTCATGTTATAATACTCGACTTTTGTTATGCTAGTTCTCCTACCATCTTCTTATGTGATAATTTCATGATTATAGAGAACATTTGTAGGCACATATTAAAGGGTCTCATCATCGAGCAGCAGAGTCAAGACTTGAGGAAATAGAATTAGGTAGGCAAGATGAGATAAACAAGAGAATAGCCTTGTCAGAATGTGGTACTGCCACCTCGAGCACCTTGACACCCAGCCAATTGTGTAGATCAGCAAGCAAACCATTAATTGACCGCGCAAGGAAAGCTGCTTCTGACATACTTCATCAAAAGTTGGAGCAAAGTACTGCTTCTCGAGTGGATGAGATCAAATGCAACAAGGGTGACAGTACAAGTTGCCTAACTAATAAAAGGAATAGTCAATCTGTTCAAATAGGAGTCACAACAAATCAAATTATCATGCCTCATGTGTACGACCGGGAACGACAAGAGAAGGAGCTTAAGTTCACATCTGCTGGCTGGAAGCGTGATGGCCATGGGAAGTGGTATAAGGATGAAAATGTGAGTTTTTCATTTGAAGCACGAAACTGCGATGAACTTTTTCTCTTGCATTTCATAAAACGAAGCAACATTGTTTCTCATACTGCTAAATTATAACTAGAAGTCTATCACTTTGATTGGTGTTTCATCAATTCTCTTTATTTAAGTATATGGCTTTAAGTTGAATGAAGGTTTGATAAGCTCCATGTAAAACTAATTTGGGTTGCACTGTTTACTTGTTTCCAGGTTGAGTTTGACTCAGATGAAGAAGATCCTAATCTCTCTCTTCCATGACTGTTGGTTGGAAAAAAGTAAGATTCTATGCCTATTTAATCCTTTCCCTTTCAGTTGTGCTTTATATCGAATCATGACATTCTACTTGATTGGATGCCAAAACTAACTCTTTTACAGGCATCCATCGCTGCACATCACTTTCCTCATAGGGAGTTGAATACTAGTCAGGTCAACTTCAAGGATAACCAGGTACATTCAACGTCTGAAAGTCCAAGCAATTCATCGTTATGATGCTTGCTCATGCTACAAGTTATCATTATCAATAAGCATGAGAAAGTTACAACGCAGAAGTTTTTCAATTTAGCAGGAATGCGTCTCTGAATATGATGCTTTGGTTTCTGTTGGATATGAATGGTGAATATGATGCTTTGAATGAGATAGGTTTGTGCACTTGAGCTGGAATGCAGTGCTCTGCTGGAACTGATTGAGCAGCTGAGGTGACGGTACTTAAGGGTCTCTGTTTCTGCTACTTTCTCCTTTGAATCCTCAATTTGTCTTAGCCACAAAACCTGCACGGTGAAGCGAGTGGGAAGTGAATTATTTGGCCTTCATTCTTGGCATCTAATCCGTCTTTCCTCAAAATAGGTGTAAAATTACCGAGGCTTACAGTATAGTGGTATTTGTGGAAGTCTCCCACACAATAGTTGAGCAATTCTCACTTCCCTCCTTCCCATTCTCTGATCTCCCAATGTAATAGAAAAAAATTAAAGAGAAGAAGTCTCAATTTCCTCATGTGTTACACAAGTCTAGAGAAAGGTAACCATCTCCGGCTTCAATAGTTGTTGATTACTGAGGCTGTCTTTGTCGATATTCTAGTTATGAAAAGCAGCAAGCAAGAACTCAAATTATGCATAGAAGTTAGAACTAGCAAAGAAATGTATAGCGTTTGTTTGAAAGTTCCAAAAACAAAGTTTGCAGTATTTTCTTTTAGTTTTTGCTTACTCTGTAATGAATCGAGTTTTATAGCCCGTTTGGCTAGGCTTCTAAAATCAGCTTATTTTGAAAAATGCTTTTCTCAAAAGTACCTTTTAAAAAAGTATTTTTGGTGATAAGTAGTTTGTGTTTGGCTAATTAATTTGAAACATTTTTGAATAGTAATTAGTGTTTGACCAAGCTTTTAAAAATTATTTTTAAGTGTGTTTTTCTCAAAAGAGCTTTTCAGAAAAGTGCTTTGAAGAGAATTTACTTTTTTTGTTTCTCAAAAAAAAAAAAAATCAAAAGCACTTTGGCTAAAAATAAGCACTTTTGACCTCAAAAAAGTTTAATCAAACAAGCTATTAATCTTTCAATAAATTAAGCCTGTTATTTAACAGGAAAAAAGGTAAAATGACATATTCATTGTTCGAAGGGTGAAATTGACCACTACAAAACAAAATACTGGCCAATGAAAAAAGATTCTCGTTTGAAGATTATTTTATGGACATGGAACCAACCTCTTGAAATTGACCACTACAAAACAAATACTGGCTAATTGAAAAAAGAAAGTTCTCTTTTCAAGGTTATTTAATGGAGCATTGAACCAAGACCTCCAAGAGAAAAAGATATCTTACGTTCATTTCATTTACAAGAATAAAATATGATCCTAGGAGGATTTTTATATTTTATTTATAGTAGATCTCTTCATTAAAATAGCATTTGTAGCTTTTACTAGAAAAAGAGTTTCAAGGCAAGAAACAACTGAATTCCAAATTAGTATGGGAGTTTTATAGCTTTACCCACAAAAACTAAATTAATTGTCTTTATCTATTCATTAGTTTTTTTATCCACCAAACTAATTATCTTTTCTGCCCATTGCAATTTTTGTGGGTAATATTATTAGTAAAAGCCTGAAAGGAGCTAAGGGAATCGTGATTGCGACTATGCTTTCATAAAGTTAAATGAAAAGTCATAAGAAGTTATTGTTAAACCATGAAATTAAATTGTGTCCATAATTTATTCTTGACGCATTACATAAGGAGGAGGGAAGCGAGAACCGTAGAAAGCCAACAAGAGGTGAAATCCCATAAAAACTAATTATCGAGAAGAGAGAGGTAATTATTATTTTCATCATCTACTTCTAATACAATAAATAGTATCTCCATGGAATTCCATCTAACACCTCTTTTAATAAGAATAAAATGGTAAAAAACATGATAACTTTGTTAAAATATTTAAAAAGGATCCAGTTAAAAAATTTAAAAAACTAAGAAATGACCCAATTATAACATCATATTGTATATTATAATAATATTTTATTGTAGTAAACTATATACTATTGAATTATATATTATACACCAAAATAGCATACAATATATGAAAATAATATTTTATATTCTTCATTAAACATTATACTATTATATTAAAATAATATACTATTATGGTATATTATATACTATTACAGCATACTATTGCAGTATACTGCACATTATTATAATATATTGTTACAGTATATTATATAATATAATAGTATACAGTTGCATTATAGCTATATACTCCTACAGTATATTGTATACCGTAATGGTATACTGTTAGGTAACTGTGTTCTTCTTCGATTATTATAGTATACCGTTGCAGTATATTGTATACTATAATAGTATATTATTGCAATATAGCTATATACTCTTACAACATATTGTATATCGTACTATTAGGTAATTGTGTTCTTTTTCGATTTTCAGCTGGAAGATTTGATCTCAATCACCTCAAATCAACTTCAAATGTGATTAAATTTCAGTATGAACTTCCAGAAGGTATTATAAGCAATATTTGATAACACCCGCTTTGAATCAAACAAGAAATCTTCAAAAATAAAAATTGAGCTTCAGGCCAACTGTAAGCACGTGATTTTTGCCCTATATGAGAATTACTCCCAAAAAATCCAAAAATAAAATGATTTTCTTTGGTGTGCAATTTTGTGATATTTTGTGATATTTTGAATAATTATTTGTATTTGTCTGTGCGTGTTTATTTGATAAATTAATAAAAAATACAAAAGTATGTCGCATTTTGCATGTAGGATTTAATTCTATAGTTGTTAGTAATTAAATTTGTTTTACAAAAATTAAAAAATTACAAAAATAAGCATCGTTTGCATTTTTAGCATTTAATGTCCAAATATACAATTTTATGCTTAATTAATACTTAATTGTGCGTTAATTGTTATTGGGAGTTAATTTGCGCTTTTATAACTTAATTTAATTCTTAATAATAGTTTAAGTATTTTTATAATTTAGTTTTAGAGAAAATAAAAGAAGAAAAGAGAGCGAAAATATAAAGAAAGTCGGAATTAGGCCTCTTCTTCAATTTCAAGACATAGGCCCAAAAAATGGCCCAATCTTCCCTACGACCCAGTCCATTTCGAACTGGGTCGACCCAGTCCATAACCCAAAAGACCCAATACCCCTATCTTGCATTTCAAAGACACAAAACAAAACAAAAAAAAAAACCAAAAACCCTAAAAATGACCTAAGTCATCCGCCCCCCCTATCATTCTTCTTCTTCTTTTCTTCTTTCTTCTCCAAACTCTAAAACACACATCCATGGCTGCCATGGCTAAGCTCCAGCAGCTTAATCTCCTTCGACACAAGCGCACACACCACCAAGAAGCCCATCTTCTCCATGTCAAGCTCAAAAGGCTCGTCCATGGCTGCGTCTTCGTCGTCAACCCATCGCCATGTTTGTTGCTTTTTCTTGCTGCCTCTGCGTCGTCCATGGCTTCCCGAACTGCTGCTCCATTTTCTCCATAAGCTGCTGAACGCAGCAGCAGTAGACGACCAGCTGCTGCCCGTGTCCAGCTGCGACGAGCAGCCATGGCTGTCCGCGACGCTGCCGCTGCTCCTCCTTCCTCCGCCGCTGCTTCTACTTCTTCTTCGTCTTCGTCGTCCTTCGTTCGAGCTTTGGTCGAGGCTTGGACAGATTTGTTTACAATCAAAGTTCGTCGTTGATTCATCTCCGGTTAGTTGTTTTTGAGTTTTATTTTTGTTCATATTTTGTTTGATATTTTCCGGATCCAAAATCGTTAAATGATTTAATCCTTGTTTTGTTCGTTGTTCATCTTTGAAATAATTTTCTATTGTGTTCATGTTGTTTGTTAAATTAATTTTCAGATTTCAAAATAGAAGTTTAATTAGTTGTTTTCATGTTTATTTCATGTTTGTATTATTGTTTAAGTAAGTATTTGTTAGTTTGATGTTTGTTAGATTCAAATTGAAATTTAATCAACTATTTCTTCAATTTGTTTCATGTGTTTATGTATTGTTAGAAATTGTTAATATTGTTAAGTTCAAGTTTAAGTTCATAATTGTTTCTTCGTCGATCTTGTTATTTGTTTAAAGAATTTAGTTGTATTAAAGGAATATATTGTTTTAATCGTTTAATCCGTCATGTTTGTTGTCTTAAAATAGATTCATTCATGTTCATACTTTGTTTGGATGATCTTGAATCCGAATTTTGTATAGTTTGATTTCTTGTTTACCATTTATGATTATTGCTTGAATTGTTCTCATAATCTTGTTTAAAGTTTAATATAAGAATTGTTTGTTGTAATGTTGTTAGAGTTGATTTTAAGTTCAATATGATTGAATTTAGAAATCTTCATACTTTGTTTGTTGTTGTTGTTGAATCCGAAAATAGGATTGTTTGTTGCTAAAATATTGTTCAATCAAATTTTAGTTGTTCTTTGTTGTTCAATTTGTGTTCATGTGATTTGTTGTTGAAATGTTGTTAAAATCGTGTTCATGTGATATTGTTGTTATGATGTTCATCCGTGTTCATATTGTTGTTTGAACATTGTTAGAAATTGATCATATTGTCTATATTTTGGTTAAGTTTGATTAATTGATGTGTTATAGCTGATGGGTAGTTTGGTAAATTTGTAGTACGTTCAGGGGTAGTTTGGTAATTTCAGTAAGGTCGGAGGGGGTAGTTTAGGAATTGTACATTTTGAAATTGTTTATTTGAAGCATGGGGGACAAAATGAAATGGGGTGGGTTGTGATATAGTTGTTTAATATAAAGGGGGGACAAGATTTAATTTAAAGGGGAATCTTGCATTATTTTAAATGAAGCATGGGGGACAAAATGAAATGGGGTGGTGTGATATGTTTATTTAATATAATAGGGATGAGTGGGAAGATAATGGGTTTGGTAGAGAAAATGGGTTGATTTTAATTGATTAAAAGATTTATGGGATGGGTTATAAGAAGTCTTGAAATCAGAATAAAAAGGAGACAAGAAAAAATATACAGACAGATACGAAAAAAAACGGGAGAGAGAAACAAATCTGAAAATAAGAGAGAGAAAAGGG